AGCACAAAATAATCAGTTAGGTAGCTAGATACAAACAAACATGCATACATACATACATACACACATACATACATACATACATACACACATACACAAACACACACACATATATGAGAGAAAGAGAGATGAGAGCAGAGAACAAGAAGTAAAAAGAGGAGAGATAGAGTAAGGGAGAAAGTAGGAAGAGAGATAAAGAAACCTCAGGGCTGGGAAGGTGGCTCAGTGGTAGAGTGCTTGCCTTACATGCATGAGGCCCTGGGTTCAATTCCTCAGCACCACATAAACAGAAAAAGCCAGAAGTGGCACTGTGGCTCAAGTGGTAGAGTGCTAGCCTTGAGCTGAAGAGCTGAGGGACAGTGCCCAGGCCCAGAGTTCAGGCCCCAACAGGCAAAAAAAAAAGAAAGAAAAGAAAAAAGAAACCTCAGTACCAGCACAAAATAAAACAATACATAGATAGATCAATACATAGAAAGACAGAGAGATTGGTTGATTGATTGATGGAGAAATAGATCAATAGATACATATATAGGTACATACATATATGAGAGGTATAGAGATAACCCAGTACCAACTCTAAATAGACAGATACAGAGCATGAGAAAGAATGGCAATGATACTGAGAGAGAGCAAGATAGAGACAGATATACAGAGTAAGAAAGATTTAGAGAAAATAGAGACAAATAGACATAGAGAAATAGATATTCGGGCTGGGGAGGTGGCTCAGTGGTAGAGTGCTTGCCTTGCATACATGAGCCCCTGGGTTTGATTTCTCACCACCACATAAGCAGAAAAAGCCGGAAGTGGCACTGTGGCTCAAGTGGTAGAGCCTTGAGCTGAAGAGCTGAGGGACAGTGCCCAGGCCCAGAGTTCAGGCCCCATGAGTGACAAAAAAGAAAGAAAGAAAGAGAGATTCAGAGAGATAAATAGAAGAGAAATAAATGAGAGGTAGATGAAAGAAACAAAAGATAAATATACAGAGAGAAAGATAGATGGGGTAATAGAGAAAAATAAAGAGATAAAAAGTTATGCTAGTACCAACAACTAGAGGGACAGACACATAGATATATAGAAGCATAGATACATAGATCACTACATAAAAAGATAGATGAATAGATAAATAGATACATGCATACATATATAGATATATAGATACATAGATCGATGCAAGATAGAGAAAGAGATACCCTAGTACCAACACTAAATAGACACATAGAGGGAGTAGGACAAAGAGAATGGTAGAGTGATACAGAGAGGAAAAGATAGAGAGCCACAGAGAGAGATTTAAAGAGAAAGAAAAATAGAATGATAGTGATAGGGGAATAGAAAGAGATAAAGAGAAACACTTGTATCAACTAAAAGTAGAGAAATAGAGATATAGGTAGATAGCCAGATACATAGAAAGAGATAAAGATACACAGAGTAAGATAGATACCCCAGTACCAACTCAAAATAGAAAAAGAAAGACACATGGATTGGTAGAAAGATAGAGATTGATATACAAAAACAGACAGAGATATCCCAGTACCAGAATAAAATAATTCAATATGTATATACATACATAGAGATATAGTGAGATAGAGATGCACAACTATCAGCACAAAATAGATATGGGGAGAGAGCACATGCAAGATAGGGAAAGAGGGCTGGGAAGGTGGCTCAGTAGTAGAGCGCTTGCCTTGCATGCCTGAGGCCCTGAGTTCGATTCCTCAGCACCACATAAGCAAAAAGAAAACAGCCGGAAGTGGCGCTGTGGCTCAAGTGGTAGAGCGCTAGCCTTGAGCTGAAAAGCTGAGGGACAGCGCCCAAGCCCAGAGTTCAGGTCCCACGACTGGACCCCCCCAAAAAAAAAGATAGGGAAAGATAGTCTAGCACCTGCACAAAACAGATAGGCTAGGAACCAGTGGATTATGCCTATTATCCTAGCTATTCAGGAGGCTGAGGTCTGAGGATGGAGGTTCAAAGCCAGCCCAGGCAGGAAAACCTTTGAGACTCTTATCTTCAATTAAGCACCAGAAAAGTGGTGCTGTGGCTTAAAATGGTAGAGTGCTAGCCTTGAGTGCAAAAGCTCAGGTTCAGCAACCAAGCCTAATTCAAGGCCAAAGACTGACAAAAGAGACAGGCAGGCAGGCAGGCAAGCAGGCAGGCAGGCAAACAGATAGATAGCAGATTAGAGATAGACAGACTTAGAGACAGATACAAAAAAAGAGATAGAGAAAAATGGGGATATAAAGAGAAAGACATCTCAGTAAAACTACTAGATAGATAGATAGATACATACATACATACTTACATACATAGATTGATAGAAATGAGAAAGAGAAAGATACCCCAGTACAGAGAGATAGGTAGGTAGTTAGATAGATAAATGAGAAATAGAGAGATGAAAGGGAAAAAAGACAAAAATTGATACCCCAGTACAAACAAAAAATAGACATGGCTAGAACAATAGATAATAGACAGACAAGACTGATAGATCCATAGATCCATATATAGATAATATAGAGAGATAAAGAGAAAGGAATAGAGATATAAGATAGATATGGTAGCAGAGACAGAGAAATAAAAGATACTAAGAGAAAGCTAGAAAGAGAAAGTGACAGGGAAAGAGAGACCTCAGCAAAATCACTAGATAGAGACAGACGGAGAGATAGAAAGACAGATAGATAGACATAATAGATGGAGAGATAGAAAGACAAAGAGGTAGAGATAGAGAAAGGGAGAGATGGGGAGAGAGAAAAAGGAAGATGAGGAGAGAAAGGGAACAATGAAAGATAAAAAGATACCCTAGTATCAACAGGAGAGAGAGAGAGAAAGGATAGAGACAGATAGATAGACAGACAGACAAACTATGTCATTTGCCAGAGACATGGATGGACTTAGAACAAATCATGTTAAGTGAGGTAAGCCAAGCTCAGAGAGACAGATGATGAATGTTTTCTCTCATATGGGGAAGCTGTATCTAAAATATAACAGGACATGATAACCTACACAGGAATCTAGATATTCACACACAGTTAAACTAAAGGAGGATACCCTTAGGGGAAGAACCCAAAGGTGTAACTGCTCTGAACATTTAAAATACTATTTATCAAAACAAATTCCTGGAAATAGAAAAAAATTGTGGTTATTGGTGATGGTGATGGTGGAGGTGGTGGTGTTTGTTTTTGCTTTGGGTCTTTTTTTTCTTTTATGGGGAGGAGGTTACAGAGAAAGAGAGAGGAAGAGTGAACAAATGCTATCATGCTATTCAGTACACACTATGTACAAAATGATCTATGTAACTTGTGGGCAGGGATGAGAGGGGAAAACTAGGGGAAAGAGAAGGAGGGGTGACATTGTCCAAAAAAAATGTACTCATTATGTGACTTATAAATTGGTAACCTCTCTTACAACACCTTAATAATAACAATAAAATTATATTTTTTAAAAGATGAGTAAAAGAAAGATAGGCAGATGCATAGATACCTACATACGTATGTACATATGGGGGGGCAAGAGGAGATGAGCTAGAGAGAAATCTTAGTATCAGAACTAAATAGATAGAGGGGCTGGGAAGGTGGCTCAGTGGTAGAGCGCTTGCCTTGCATGCATGAGGCCCTGAGTTCGATTCCTCAGCACCACATAAGCAAAAAGAAAAAAGCCGGAAGTGGCACTATGGCTCAAGTGGTAGAGCGCTAGCCTTGAGCTGAAGAGCTGAGGGACAGCGCCCAGGCCCAGAGTTCAGGCCCCACGACCAAACTCCCCCCCCAAAAAAGAACTAAATAGATAGAATGATAGATAAAAGAGAGAAAGACAGATCCAGAGAGAGAAAGAGATAGATAAATAGAATGTGTGTGAAAGAGAGATGGATATAAAAGACAGAGTGAAAGAGAAAGATAAACTGACAGATAGCAGGAGAAATGAAGAGGAAACAATGATATAGAGAGATAAAGGGAGAGATACTCCAGTACAAACATGATAAAGAGACATTGAGATACCCCAATACCAGCACAAAATAGAGACAGATATAGACAGAAAGACAGATATATGAGAGAGAGCTGAGAGACACAGAGCTAAAGAAAACAAAGAGATATAGAAGCCATATTGGTGGCTCACACCTGTAATCCTAGCTACTTAGGAGGCTGAGATCTGAGAATCTACACTCAAAGCCAGTCTGGACAGGAAAGTCCCAGAGACTTTTAATCTCCAATTAACCACCAGGAAACCAGAAGTAGCACTGTAGCTCAAGTGGGTAGAGCATTAACCTAGAGCTGAAGAGCTCAGGGACAGCACTCAGGTCCTGAGTTCAAGCCCCACAACTGACAAAAAAGATATAGAGAGCCACAGAGAAAAATAGAGATAATAAGAGATTGATAGAGATACAGAGATAGAGATAAAATAAAAATATCCCAGTGCCAACAGTAATTGGATGGATGGATGGATGGATAGATAGATAGATAGATAGATAGATAGATAGATAGATAGATAGATAGATAGATAGATAGATAGATAGATAGGATAAGATAGATAAGATAAATAGAATTAGCTAAATGAAGGGGGAAGGTACCCCAGTACCACAACAAAAGATAGATAGATAGGGATGGATGGATGGAAAATGGGCAGATAGATGAGAGAGAAAGGGAGAAAGAGACAGAGATCCCAATACCAGAACAGAAGAGAAATACAGACAGACAGATTGATGGGGTAAGAGAGAAAAAGAGATAAATTCCCAGTACCAGCACAAAATAGTGAGGACAGAGAGAGATCAACATACAAATAACCTTTTTGTAGTTCATCTGCATTAGCAGTCTTGCCAATATTTTTATAATATAAATATTGCCCATGTCATGTTTTGGGGGGTTATTTTTCATTAGTTGTGATTTGTCTCTGATAATTGTCTTTGTGAATAAACAACACTTTCAAAATGGCTCAGTGCTGTTTTGACCACTCAATGTTAACTGGCTCCTGTAAATAACTTTGTTTCTAGCAATTTCACTATTTATTATTAATTATTTTCTTAGGACCTGCTGATGTACCTCTGATGTCACCAAGTGGTACGTTACCTCCAATTTACCTACCACCTGGATATATGTCCCAGGTATGTTAACATAGTTTTTATTTGGCTGTTTAGCTCTAAATTATCATTTAATATTTTTCCCCATCCCACTGCTTGATAAAAGAAATTATGGGGCTGAATACTAGCTGCTCAGGAGACTGAGATCTAAGAATTGTGGTTCAAGGCCAGGCAATTCTGAGAAACTTTATCTCCAGTTAACCAACAAAAAGATAGAACTGGAGGCATAGCTCAACTGGTAGAGAGCCAGCTGGGAGCAAAAAATCCAAGTGAGGGCAAAAAATGCCTTGAGTTCAAGTCCCAGTACTAGCACAGACACACAAAAAAATTCTGGAATACTATTTTTTCATTTTACTGTTACCATTGCATTCCTGCTATGCTGGGAATACAGCCCAAGGTTTTTCCCATACTAGGCAATTGCTCTTCCAATGAGCTATATCTCCAGCCCTTGTTATCATTATTACTAAAAAGCGACTGGTGTGTGTGTGTGTGTGTGTGTCTGTGTGTGTGTCTGTGTGTGTGTGTGTGTGTGTCTGTGTGTCTGTGTGTCTGTGTGTGTCTGTGTGTCTGTGTGCTGGTCCTGGGGCATGAACTCAGGGCCTGGGCATTTTTACTCAAGGCTATTGGTCTACCACTTGATCCACAGCTCCACTTCCAGCTTTTTGGTGATTAATTCAAGATAAGAGTGTCCTGGACTTTCCTGCCCTGGGCAGGCCTTAAACTGAGATCCTCAGATCTCATCCTCCTGAGTAGTTAGGATTATCAGTGTAAGCCACTGGCATTCCACAAAACAATCAGTTTAAAAGTAATTGTTCAAAGCTGGGTGCCAGTGGCTCACGTGTGTAATCCTAGCTACTCAGGAGTCTGAGATCTAATGATCGCAGTTCAAAAACAGCCCAGGCAGGAAAGTCCATGAGACACACTCATCTCCAATAAACCACCAGAAAACCAGAAGTGGCACTGTGGTTTAAGTAGTAGAGTGCTTAACTTGAGCTGAAGAGTTGAAAGACAGCATCCAGGCCCAGAGTTTAAGCTCCATGACCACCACCAACAACAACAAAAGTAATTGTTCAAAATGACTGACCTATAACCAAATCCATCTTAGCCTTTTACAAGATGCCTAATTTACCTGCTGACTTTTGATCACTTTGATAATCAGTAATCCCCCATTTTTGTTGATTCCAAGTATGTTCATCCATTTTAATTAGCTATTATAATTGCTACAATAATGACTTACTTTCCTGTGTCCTCTATCTTAGGTGGTTGAGGAAAACGGAATTCAAAAAATTATTGTTGTGCCCCAGATAACTGACTACAACCTGCAGGTGCCTGCTACAACACACGGATCCCAATATATGACACATCCACCCGTTCTATATCCACACGCTACTCAGATGATGTATCCTCCAGCTCAAGGAGAATTTCCAGTAACTTACTTCCAAGAACCTGTTGTGCAGCAGCTGATGCCACCACTACCAGCTCTTCCACCAGCACCAGCAACGTATATGTACCAAGATTACCACGGTACTGTATACCTTTTTTCGATAGAAACTATTGTACATTCGTTAAACAAATTGAGAGCACAATAACAGGGAGTTAATTGACCTAAAGTATAATATATTCATGTGGGAAATACCATGGTGCAACCTCTTTGTGCAACTAATACACACTGAAGACACTGGATGACAGGAATGTAAGGCATATTCTGTTGAGGGCTAGGTATTGGGGAGAAAGAGGAGCCAAGTGGGTAAATGATTATTAATAAAGTTAAAGTACATTACATGCACATATGGGAAAAAATCTGTTGAATTGTTTTTAAGGAAAGAGAGAAGGGGAGAGTGATAAAGAGGTGAGTTTGATGCATGGATAGAAATATCACAATGAAATTCCCTTGTACAACCAATATATACTAATGAAATATATGCTAATAAAATGAATAGATTTAGAAAACTTATAAAGTGGAAAAAACAGAAATAGCAACATTTCCATGAACATTTGCCTTGTGTCATCAATCCTACATATATGATGATACACACTTAGGTTTGTTTTAGGCAAAATGTTTCTTAAATAGAATTTCCCATAAATATTTCTTGTACTTTTTTATTTTATTTTATTTGTCGGTTGTGGGGCCTGAACTCTGGGATTGGGCACTGTCTCTCAGCTCTTCAGCTCAAGGCTAGTGCTCTACCACTTGAGCCATAGCACCACTTCTGGCTTTTTCTGCTTATGTGGTACTGAGGAATGGAACCCAGGCAAGCATTCTACCACTGAGCCACCTTCCCAGCCCCCTCTTGTACTTTTATATAGTATGAATTTATTGATACTTATTTTTTACTGAATTTTTACTGACTGAGTCTATAAAATCCAACCTGAAAACCATAAAAGAACTTGGTCAAGAGCCAGGCACCAATGGCTCACTCCTATAATCCTAGCTACTCAGAAGGCTGAAATCTGAGAATTACAGTTCAAAGCCACCCCATACAGGAAAGTCTGTGATCTTACCTCCAATTAAGCACCAAAAAGCCAGAAGTGGAGCAGTGGCTCAAGTGGTAGAGCACTAGCCTTGAGCAAAACACTCAAAGGCAGCACCCAGACCCTCAGTTCAAGTCCTGGGACCAGCATTAAAAAAAAATAATAACTTGATCATTAAGACCTTAGTCTAAGAATATAAAAGGCATTAAAGGGTCAATATTCCAACCATCTTAAAACCTTAAAATCTGGAAAAAAGTATATAAATTGTTTATATTTATCTTTCTATACATTTCAAGATATTATAACACGCAGAGACACATATGCATATGTCTAATACCCTATTAAAGCCAAATAAGAAAACTTTGAAGCCAGGCTCTGGTTGCTTATACCTGTAATCCTAGCTACTCAGGAGGCTGAGATCTGAGGTTCGTGGTGTGAAGCCAGCCTGGGCAGGAAAGTGCATGAGACTCTTATCTCCAGTTAACCACCAGAAAATCAAAGCGGTGGTGTGGCTCAAGTAGAATTGTGCTAGCCTTGAGCAGAAAAGCTTATGGACAGCACGTAGGCCCTGAGTTCAAGCCCCATGACCAACCAAAAAAAGAAAGAAAAGAAAACTGAAAAGTAAAGCCTGGCTTTAAGTGTTATTTTGTTGGTTAAGTTAAAAAAAACTTGATATATGTAATTATTATAATTTTTCAACATCATTGTTTTAGAAACCTACTCTTATGGAAGAGCAAATTATAACGAATTTGATGAAAGGCCTGCTAAGACAGGTGAATATAAGAAAATGAAAGACCGCCCAGGTGGATGCAAAAACAAAGCTACTAGCATTACACCTGCTAAATATACTCCAGATGTTTACACTGTAGACAGTGCTCCCCACATCTACACTGTAGATGAAAGTTGCAGCACTTACACTGTAGATAATACATTGAGCACTTGCACTGAAAACAGTACTCTAAATACTCACACTTTTGACAATCTTCCCAACACTGACATCTCTAACGAAACCCCCAGCATTTCTACTGACAGTGCCCATAACATGGTCACCACCGACACTAATTTTTGCTCGGAAACCACTGACAGCACTGATTGTGCTTCCACAACTACCACCTCTGACATAATTGTAAGCCCATCCGTTTTGGAGAATCCTTCAGGCTCTTCCTCCTCAGCCAATGCTGCCAACACTCCTATCTCCGAAAATGCACCTAGTATCATTGAGAATTCTCTCGCCACTACCAGTGCTCCCAGCACTACCTGTGATGAATCCAGTGCTCCAAGCACATCCACTGATCCCAGAATAATCAATGATGAGCATAATGCTCCCCTTACAACCAGTGCTTCCAGCACAACCGATACTGAGCCCAGTGCTCTAAGCTCATCCAGTGCTGACCCCAGTACTCCCAGCATAACCAGTGTATTTAGTAACACCAGCACATCCACTGCTGAGCCCAGTGCTCCCAGCACATCCAGCCCTGAGCTTAGTGATCCTCTGATATCTAGCACTGAGCTCAGTGCTGTAAGCCCATCCGGTGCTGAGCCTAGTGCTCCAAGCACAAGCAGTGTCGAGTCTACTGATATTCTTACACTTAGTGCTCTTACCACATCTAGCACTGAGTCTAGTGCTCCTCTCACACTGAGTGAGCTCAGCACAACCAGTATTGAGACCTGTGCTCCCAGTACATCTAGTGCTGAGCCTAGTGCTCCCCTTACATCCAATGTTGAGCTTAGTACTCCCAGCACAACCAGTGCTGAGCCTAGTGCTCCTCTCATATCCAGTAACACCAGCACAACCAGTGCTAAGCCTAGTGTTCCGAGCACATCCAGCACTGAACTTAGTGCTCCTGTCCTATCCAGCACTGAACAAATTGTTCCCCTCATATTCAGTGCTTCCAGCACTGAGCTCAGTGTGGCAAGCACATCGAGTGCTGAGCCTAGCGCTCCAAGCATAACCAGTGCCAAATCTACTGATCTCACATGCAGTGCTCCTCTCGCACTGAGTGATCTCAGCACAACCAGTGCTGAGCCTAGTGCTCCCAGTACATCCTATGTTGAGCCTACTGTTCCTGTCATATCAAATGTTGAGCCTAGCATTTCCAGCACAAGTGCTGATCCTAGTGCTCCCAGCACAACCATCACCGAGCCCAGTGTTCCCAGCATCTCCAGTGCTGAATCTAGCACTCCCAGCATATCCAGTGCTGATCTTAGTGCTCCCAGCACATCAATTACTGAGCCCAGTGTTCACAGCATGTCCAGTGCTGAAAGCACTACTTATAGCACATTCAGTGCTGAGCCCAGTGCTCCTAACACTGAATCCACTGAGTCCACTGCTCCCACTACATCTGGAGCTGCCAAGGCTGAGACTAATTATGGAAAGAATCAGACACCAACAGATGGAGAAAACGAACAAAAATCAACTGGAAAACAAAATCAGATCCAATCATCAAGTGAACCACTAAAAGGTAAATCTAGGAGTTTCTTTGCTGATGAGTGTTGAAATCGTTAGGAATATCAGTGCCTTTTAAATATTTAAATGTCATTTTCTACTTCCTTTTCTTTATTTTTTGTGCTTCTACCTGTAATTGTCATTTATTTTAAAGTTGTTGTTGTTATTATTATTATTATTTGGTGGTAATGAGGTTCAAGCTTAGAGCTTCACATTTGCCAGGCAGACGGGCTACTGCTTGAGCAATGTTGAACAATGTACCAGCTCTGTTTTGTTGTTTTATTTTTTGCTTATTTGACAGATGTTCTACCACTTGAGCACACTTCCAGCCCTGCTCTTGGTATTTTTCACACAGGCTCTTGCTTCCTGCATATGCTTGTCTGGACTTCAGTCCTCCTATTTATACCCACTCAACTTTCTTTCTGCTGAGATAGGGTCTAGTTAACTTTTTTGCCAAGGCTGGCCTAGAACTGAAGTCTCCTGATTTCAGTCTCTCAATTATCTGGGATGATAAGCACACACCACTGAAGCCTGGCTATTACTATTTTTATGGAAAAATAATTACAAACTGGAGACATGGCTCAAGTGGTAGAGCACCAGCTGAGAAATAGTTGTAAAAATGTATAGGGTACAATGTGCTGTTTTCGTATACGAAAACGACATAGAATTATTCAGCCAACAACTCACTATTCTCTCCCTTCCCACTCTACCCCTTCTCCATCATTCCATTTCTACTTCTGAGTATCGAACTGTATTAGGTCCACATAAAAGTAAGATCATTATTTTCTTTCCGTGCCTGATTTATTTCATTTAGTGTAATATCCTCCAAGTTCATCTGTGTTGTAGCAAATCACAAGATTTACTCTTTTTGAGACTGAATAGAATGAAATGGCAAATTAACCTGCTTTTTAAAATCTTGGAGAGAGTTAGGGATGTAGTTCAATGACAGAATTCTTGCCTAGTGTACGTAAGGCCAGAGATTCCATTCCCAGCACCACAAAAAAATAAAAATTTAATTGTACAAAATTGTACAATTTAATTGTACAAAATTGCATACTCTTATTTTTGCCTGTCAGTGAAATGTCACAAATTACAATGCTAACCAATTTATATGATTTTTATTTTAGGTGAGGGTTTTTATTTCTCTTTTGCTAGAATTTGTTTAACACACTTTAGACTGTTTGCTTCTTGTAAAGTAAATAGCTGTTTAGTGTGAGTATTTGTCTTGGGCATGATATATTTGTAGTGAGATAATAAATATACCACTACTTTCTTTTATTTTTACCAATGTAATTTTGTGTTTATGGTGGTTGTCTACTTTTAGAATGCACAAAGCAACCTGAGAAGTCACGTCGTTTCAACATTGAGAAGCCCATTGTAAGTAACTAAAATGAAGGAGCATTCCTTTTCATTTACTTTCGTCAGTCTTAAGCCTAAAAATTTAGTGGGATGTTTCCATAGTACCATTTTAATTTGTAGCTTTAACTGGTTAAAATTTCATAATCTCTTTTAGCAATCCAATAAATAAAGGGCCTTTTTGGCATTATTACAGACAGGATTCATGGCTTACTGAGATTGATCACAGTGTGTAAGAACTTAATATGAAGAGAACAATCTACTTAGAATCAAAACAGACTAAAGGAAAGACTATATTATAAATCACAGCTTATAATTTTTAAGTTTGATCCTCATGTTTTTACTATTTTAGGTTTCTGATATTCAAAACAGATCTGCTGTGATTACATGGAATCTATATGGTTCTGAAGAATTTGACGATACTAGACCTCCAGTAACATTTGAACTGGCAATGTCTACAACAGGGAAAAATGGAAAATATAAAAATATTTATAGGTAAGTCATTTTAATCATTTCTGCTTTCCTACACTTCAATTCAGTTGTGCTATCTTAACATATAGACCCCCCAAACTGTACTTAACAGGTTGAATTCTCACTTTTTCTAAGCTTTGAATACATTTGTTTGCAGAAGTCATTTTCTAAATAGTATTAGGTTACCAAGTCAGCCCACAAAACTCATTAGATTGTAAGACTGTTAAAACTGAATACTTTCTATATCAACTAGCTCATTCAGTTTACAGAGTTCCTATTAAGAGAGAAATTTTTAGCCAGTCCTGTGGCTTGAACACAGGGCCTGGGCACTGTCCCTGAGGTTTTGTGTTTTTTGTTTATTTGTTTGTTTTGTTTTTTGCTCAAGGCTGGTACTCTATCTCTTGAGCCACAGCCCCACTCCTTACTCTGTGTGTGTGTGTGTGTGTGTGTGTGTGTGTGTGTGTGTGTGTGTGTGTGTGTGGTTTTTGGGATAAAAGTCTCATGAATTTTCCCTGTCTGGGCTAGCTCCAAACTATGATTCTCCGATCTCAACCGCCTACAACCGCCTATATAGCTATGATTATAGGCATGAGCCACCGGTGCCCAATTCACTGTTACCATTTTGCACACATACAAAGTGGGTTCAAGTCCAGTTTCAAAGAGAATCATGTTTCTTTGTCAGTTGAATGTATAAGATAGGAATTGTTTGCTTAGTTTTCAAATATGCATGATACCCATTGTAAACAAAAGTTTTCTTCACAGTGGTGACAAACTTTCATTTAACCTACATACTCTACAACCATCCATGACCTATTTTTTAAGGTAAGAACGCCATCCTACACAACTGACACCTAACCTATAGTGAGCCAAAATTTCCTGGTCTGTACCAATTCACTACTTCTAATCCCTATAGTCAGCCTAACTATTTCAAGCAAATTGATCTTTCCTTTAAGCTTCAAAACAACCTCCTTCAGATCTGGTATAGTTCACTTTCTTAATTTAGAAAAGAACTTTGGGAGCCATCTGCAAGTACCCAACTTTGCTATATGAACCCATATTTTATCATTATTCTTAGGAAGTCTGTCTGAAAATGCACACTTGTGATTTCATATTTAAAAGCTTATAATAATTGTCATTACATTTTTTAGAGTTGCAGCTAGAAGAGGCTCAAATTATAAAATCTTGTCTGAAGTGGTTAATTTTACAACACCAGGCTGTGAACCGGATCGTCCACAAGCACCTAAACTCATTAATCGGTCAAAAAATACTCTGAATTTGCAGTGGAAAGTAAGGATTTGATTGATAAAAGCATTTTCTACTGGGATGTGAATTTTAAGTAGGGAATTCTGCCTATCTGCCTTAACCTTTTTCTCTAGTATCTTTCTTTACCACAATCTTTCTGTTCCTTCTATCTGGATCAAATGTCAAATAAATTGAAAATAATCAACAATAATTATAATAATTAATTAAAACCTAATTAGCACTTTCTACCCCCTAAACTTAGTTATTTATTACCATTCTAGTTAAATTTATCTCTCAGGCTAGGAAGGTGGGCTCAGTGGTAGAGTGCTTGTCTTGCATACATGAGGCCCTGGGTTCGATTTCTCAGCACCACATAAACAGAAAAGGCTGGAAGTGGTGCTGTGGTTCACGCGGTAGAGTGCTAGCCTTGTGCTGAAGAGCTCAGGGACAGCACCCAGGCCCAGAGTTCAAGCCCCATGACCGAAAAAAAAAATCTCTCATTTGACCTAAGTGTTGATTTTCTTCATGACATACATAAAATACAACAGAGCATAGAGCTAGACATATTTTATGGAGGGTATTTTAACTTTAAATTTTGATTCCTTTTAAAACAAAGTATATCTATAAAATTCATATCAGCATATTAATTTTATATCTATAAAATTTTAGATTTGTAATTAATGTTGTAATGCATTACCTATATGTACATGTACACAATATACATAGCATATAAGTATATAGATATGTAAATACAGGCCATTATAATTGTCTTTCTGGTATTTTTAGGGTTCAAATGAAAATGGTTCCAAAATTAACAGCTTCCTTCTGGAATGGGATGAGGTATACAGCCTTATTTTTAAAAGCACTTGATTATGTGTGATTATTGTTATGATGAATTTGTCTTGTTAACCATTGTACTTTCTAATATTCTAATTTTTCTGCATGTGTTCCTAAGGGGAAAGGCGAAAATTTCAAAAGTTGCTATACAGGGACCATGAAACAGCAAAAGTTCCTAAAACTGACTGCTTCAACAAAATACTCATTCAGATTAGCTGCCAGAAATAACTTTGGCTTGAGGTACATTGAGTTATTTGCAGCATTTAGAAGTCTGTACTTCCATAAGAACATGAAACTAATTTATTCATCCTAATCTAATTTTGCAGTGATTTCAGTGAAATCGCAGCCTTTTATACATCCGGGTCTATGCCCCCAACACCTTTGCCTCCTAAGCTAAAGGAAGCTGATATCTTTAGTTTGTCACTAGAATGGTGTGCGCCAGCCAACGTAAACTCACATAGCCATCTTACTTATGTATTGGAAATGGAGGAACCAGGAACTGTAAGTTTTCTTTTACATACTGTAATCTTCAAACTCATTATTATGTACATTTTACATATACTTATCACTTGAAAAAATATAAATTTGATTAGTTATGCTTTCTACTTAATCAATTGAATCCAGAATTGAAGGATTCCTGAGTCCCTAGATTGTCAGTGGGGAGGAGGGGTCAATGTGGACCATTTTTTAGCAAGCCTGTGTAGGATCTCTAGTCCTGAAAATTTGGTAAAGGCAATGGTAGCCAGAATCACAGCACAGAGACTCAGAGAAATGTATTATTATATAGATCTTTTCACTTTAACACAATTCCACCAAGCTATGTTTTTTTTTTTCTGGTCTTGGAATCCTGATGGGAGTGTGTATTTCATTCCATTCAACTTTCAACTTTATTCAAAAACGGCAAGCCAATTTTAAAAAGTAGCTGTAAATTATTACATATATATCCATAGAGATGATAGGTAGTTGGACAAGATAGATAAGACAGAGAAAAAGAGAGAGAGAAAGAAAGAAGGGGAAGAAGGGAAAGAGAGAGAGAGAGAGAGAGCGCCAGGTGCTGGAGACTCACACCTGTAATCCTAGCTATTCAGAAGGCTGAGATCTGAGGATCACAGTTCAAAGCCAGCCCAGATAGAAAAGTCTGTGAGCCTCTTATCTCCACTTAACCACCAGAAAACTAGAAGTGGTACTGTGGCTCAGTGGTAGAGTTCTAGCCTTGAGCAAAAGAGCTCAGGTAGAGCTCCCAGATCCTAAATTCAAGTTCCATGACTGACAAAAAAGGAAAAGGAAATATATAGATACCGATATATATATATATATATATATATATATATATATATATATAACTTTGAGAAGTGTTTTGTTGTAATTAGTATGCTAAGAAATTTCACATGTGTTATCTTATTAACTCCTGAGGAGAAGGGTCCATTCAAAGTAGAAATTATCTCCATTTCTTAGCATGGAGATATTGAAGTTCAGAAAGACTAAGGCACTTGCTCAGGACCACCCAGATCAAAAAATAACTCGAAGCTAGAACTTGAATCCAGGCCTGACTGACTCCTGAATTTGTTGTCATTTCCAGGGATTAGGTTTTAAACCTACATACAATGGTGAAGACTTCTCATGTACTATAACAAATCTACAGCGAAGTACTACATACAAGTTTAGGGTATGTAGCTATCATTTATAAATTTGTGTCACGTTTTCAAATAAAATTATACTCTGCTGGAGAAAAAAAAATGTTTTCCTGTCAGGTACCAGTAGCTCACACCTATAATCCTAGCTACTCAGTAGGCTGAAATCTGAGGATCACAGTTCAAAGCCAGCCCGGGCAGGAAAGTCCATGAGACTCTTATTGCCAATAAACCACCAGAAAACCAGAAGTGGCACTATGGCTCAAGTGGTAGAGCTCTCACCTTGAGATGAGGGACAGTGCCTAGGCCCAGAGTTCAAGCCCCATGACTGGCTAAAAAATATTTTCCTTTGAAATTAAACCTTATTTTGCATTTAGTTCACAGAGGTTCTCACTCAAAGAACTTGCTTTATATTGTAAACTACACATTATCAAATGTGTAATCGTCAGTTCCCATAGTCAGTGAAGTATCTTGTTTCATTCAAACAGATTTTTTCCTATAATATGGAAGGACGAAGTAATCCCAGTAATGAAGTAAAATATACTACCTGTCCGGACAAGCCTGGAGCTCCAACACAGCCATACGTAAAAGGAAAAATTCATGCACACAAAGTGAAAATTGGGTGGCGTAAGTGATATTCTATTATTTAAATGCTTTGCTACCTCCATATTAATATTAACTACTGACAAAAAATGTTTCTCAGACTTCCCTAAGGTTTAGAGAATATTCTTTTTTTTTTTTGGATCCGGTTGTGGGGCCTGAACTCTGGGCCTGG